GCGACACTGAGGGTTGCGATCCGTTGCCGGACACGGAAAAAGACAAAAAAAAAAACAAAACATATTTATTTGTGAAAAGATATTTATGACAAGGTTCACAGTCAAATTTATTCAATGTTATTTAATATTAAAAATGAGAATCTAGTTTTATTTTCTATATATCTCTAATATCAAAGCTATTTTGTATGCTTAGAGGATGCTTTTATTTTTATTTTTATTTTTTATTTATTTTTTTATTTTTTTGTCTTTTGTCTTTTTCCGTGTCCGGCAACGGATCGCAACCCTCAGTGTTGCCCCCGCACCGGACCGGGGACCGGCAACGGGATTGCAACCCTCGGTGTCGCTCCCGCGCCTTGCTCAGCCAGTGAGCGGCTGGTCTGTATGTGGGATCCGAACCCTCGGGCGGGAGCGCTGCCGCGCTTCCCAAGCGGCGCACTTATCCAGTGCGCCACCGGGCCGGCCCTTATTTGTTTTTAATTGATACAGTTTTGTTGATGCTTTAGGTTAAATTTAGTTATAGTGAGCTTCTAGTTTGTTCTGAGCTGTTAAATTAGTAAAGATGGTTTAAAAATCTCACTAAAAATCTAAAAAGTCAGAACATCTACCTCTGCTTACTATAGAAAGTAGATCCTTAAAAATTAAGATGATAGATTCCACTGAAGTGTTAGCTGTCTTGATATGTAAAAGTTTAGTTTTTACCTAAATGATTATCATTAAGTGTATAGCTGCAAGTGAGATTAGGCTTTATTTTGAATCCTAGCACATACATGTGAGGTTAGGGTAGTCGAACTGTCAATTGACAATTAGGAGATTGGGATTTTAGTATTGGTCCTTAATCAATTGCTAGCTTGTGTTCTATTTCCATTTGTTTTAACTATTAAATCAGAATAATAACAGCTGTTTTTTCCTTTCTCAGAATGTTTGTTATGTGGAGAAAATGAGATAGGATAGTATCCTGGAAAGAGATCACTAACTTAATTCAAGGCACTGCCGTATTATGGTCATTGTTCACATAAAAGGTTTCTAGACCATAGGTTTGGTTTTCTGATGAAAAAGAAATTCTTAGGTTAAAGCTAATTGCATTTGTCTTGATGTGCCTGTTCACATTTTACTGTTGTAATCGGATTTTGTTGCATTTGATATTTCTTGAAATGTGTGCCTAAGTAAGGGACTTATGTTTGCAAAGGACTTGAACTTCGACATCCAGCCATGACTAGTGGTAAGAAAGAACAGTGATTATATTGGATGTTTTATTATAGTAAATTTATACTAGAAAATGCACTACAGTTTATAATTATAATACACCAGCTAAGCCTTAATAACATTTTTGCTTAAGTGAGCCCTTGGAATTTCCATTTTTAAAGCAGCATTTCCTAAAGTGTGTTCCTTATAATATTAATTTAATGTGATGTTAACTAGTAGAGGTTAACATTTCAAAAAGGGGATTGGTGGTGCCAAATAAATTTGAGAAATATTGACTTAAGTTAAACAGATTTGTTTAAGACCCTCTTTTCAAAGCCTGATAAAATGCATTGTTTCCTCAAATTATTTGACTATGGAACTGTTTTGCAGAGCACATCTTAGGACTGTTGTTAAACAGATCAAAATTTTTCCTTAACTCACTTAAAATAATTTGAATATAGCAAGAAATTATACCCAATTTATTTAAAATATTTGGAGTGAATTCAAATGTATTAAAATAACATTTCTTATCACAGAGATTCAAAATGTTGACTACTGAGCAATGCCTTTTTTCTCTTAATTTGTAGGTACGAAAAAAGGACCAGATCAATATTGAGACAAAGAACAAAACTGTTCGTTTTATTGGAGAACTAACTAAGTTTAAGATGTTCACAAAAAATGATACACTTCATTGTTTAAAGGTTAGTGCTGAATTATTTATTTTTAATAGAAAAATGTAAAGTTTTAGTTATAAGTGGTGGATAAAATGAAATAATTAAATATTTGATTAATCCAAAGGAAGAAAAGAAAGGAGTAAAAAGGAACATTAAACAGATAAGCAAAATAGAAAATACTAAGATAGGGATAAAAATGCACCTATCAGTAATTATGTGAAACATAAAAGGACAAAATACATCAAGTAAAAACCTTAAGAGTATAAGACTTGATTAAAATAACTATGTGCTATCAATAAGAGAAATAAAGACAAGAAAGGTTAAAGTAAAAAGATAGGGGAAATATATTGTGCAAATACTAATTGAAAGAAAGCTGGTTTCTCTATACTGTTATTAGACAAAGTAATCTTTAAGGCATGAAGCATTATTAGAAATAAGGAAGGATGGTTAATAATGCTGAAGAGGTCATTTTAATAGGAAAGTATTACCTTCCTGGAATCAGTATGCATCTAATAACTTAGCTTCAAAATATATAAAGCAAAAATTGGCAAGTAACAGAGAAATTTAAAAAATCCACAATCATAGTTATAGATGTGACAATAACTGTTAATAGCTAAAAGAACAGAAAAACAAAATCAGTAAGTATTTACAGAATTTGAACACAATTACCAGCCTTGATCTAATTCAACAGAAGTCATGATCTCTTCAAATGCACATGGGTCATTTACCAAAATCAACCATAAAGAAAATCTCAGCAAATTTAAGAAGTTTGGAATTATTCAGATTATCTTTTCTGTTTACAGTGGAATTAACCTAGAAACCAATTAGTAACAGTAATTAATTATATGTGGTAAAGCTGGTGCAGATTAGGTGGCATAATTCTTCTACATTTGAAATTGATCATTCCTTTACTAAGGTTGTTTTTCTATAACAAATTTCTTACCAACTTGATTTCCTTGGGGTATTAATAAGTACTCGTATACCACAGAAAATGGGCCTCATGGATTCAAATATATTTGGAACACCTTGAGTTAAACAAAATTAAACAAGCTTATTTACTGCATGATTTCTCAGAGTGTGTAAAATACTAATAGTCATCTTAAATATTCAAGGGATTAAGTTTCCTAAACCTTTTTTGAGCATCTCAGGAAACAGGTAATACTATAAAATACATTTAGGGAAACTCCAGACAGTATTGTAAGAGGAATTGTGAAAATTTTATGAATGCTATAATTGAAAGGAATCATGCCATAAACTATTTGAACTTATTAGTATATTTATTTGTACTAGTTCTTAAAAATATATAGGAAGGATATACATTTTTTGACACAAATTCCATTTCTAGGAATTTATTTTAAGGAAATAATTATAAATGTGTGAATGTATTTATCTGCAAGGATGTTTGTCATGCCTTCTTTATAATAGCAAGAAATGGGAGACAGTTTGGATGTCTAATAAATAAGAACCAATCGTTTTAATCTAGTTCATATTATACAATACTACATACCTTGTGAATCATGCCATAGAAGGGTAAAAAAAAGGACACACACAAAAAAAACTCATGTTAAGCAAAAAACCAAGTTATTAAATGATATAATAAGTCTAAGCCTGTTTTAGTTTAGACAATATCTAAGTCGAAGTCTGTTTTGGTTTAGAAAATGTACATAGAACAAAAAACTCATGTTAAGCAAAAAACCAAGTTATTAAATGATATAATAAGTCTAAGTCTGTTTTAGTTTAGACAATATCTAAGTCGAAGTCTGTTTTGGTTTAGAAAATGTACATAGAAAAATATTGGGGGCTGGCTGTTTAGCTTAGTTGGTTAGAACGTGGTGCTGATAACACCATGGTCCAGGGTTCGATCCCTGTACTGGCCAGCTGCCAAAAATAAAAAATAAAAAAAAAGAGAGAGAGAGAAAGATTGGGAGGATAAATACTAAAATGTTAGGATAATGTGTTATGTTTATAAATTTTATACAATGAGCAAATGATACTTCTATAGAAGGGATTTTTTTTCTTTTTTCCCCTTGTGTTCCTCTATTCAATCTTGACTGCCACAATCAGACAGACAGAACACATGAGGACTTTTTCTTGCAACTGTAGTAGAAACCTTTAGAAAGAATTTTTAAAAGTAAACATATAGACCAAAACAAAACAAAAAGCCATTGAGAAAATGTCAGCTGGATATATGGCATGTGTTTAAATACATAACATAACAAATGTAGAGAGGGCTTTGACATTGGTTTCCATATATTGTTCTGAAAGGAAAGATATTAAATATGTTGAAGTTTTTCAATAAAAAATTTTATGGCAGAAGACAAAAGATGGTCAGCTTCAGTGCTTATTAAACTAAAGTAGACTCATTTTTGTTTTTTATACTGACATTTTTAAAGTTATTACTCAGATGCATAATATTTTCTTTACTAGGATTGAAGGGTTGTCTTTGTAGTTTTTCATCATTCTTACTATTACAGATGCTTCTGTCAGACTTTTCTCATCACCATATTGAAATGGCATGTACCCTCCTGGAGACATGTGGACGGTTTCTTTTCAGATCTCCAGAATCTCACCTGAGGACCAGTGTACTTTTGGTAAGGGCTTAAGGATACTGGTAAGAGCAGGAGGATAAATATTTTTAGCTTCAGGGGTTAAACATATTGACAAGTGTTGGTTATCTTGCTCTGCCATATGAAAACAGACATTTCTATCGAAACTGGAGCATCCCGTACGTAGGAGCTGCCATCCCTGGAGAGCTGTAGGAATTTTTCTCACTTGGCTGCCAGTGAGTTGACAATATTTATTATAAAGGGAAATGAAGTTCAACCATAAAACTTGACAAATGATGCAAACAAGCAGATACTCTTAATACTGTTATGTTAGAGCCATCTTTATGGATGTTTTTGGTACATCTCAAGCCATTATTAATATGACATAGAGCACATAAAATATAAGCTTAAAAATATAAAATTACATTTTAAAATTAAAACACCATAAAAATGTAAGCTTGAACATTTAACTTGGGAGAGAAGTTATTTTTTAAGCTGATTCGAATGTTGAAATGACCATAAAGTTTATAAAGCAGCTATGTTATTATGCTTATTGATAATATTTGCTTGCAGCCTTTCAGGGTAGAGAGAGAGAATGTATGTGTGGTGGAGGATGGGGTGTTAGTGTTAGTGTTAAAGAGTGATCTGGCTTAGGAATTTCTGAGTGTAGACTCATTGTATTGGTGTTGCTATTACAAAAGTCTTGATTGTGTCATTTTCTCTAGACAGGTTGTATTTTTTAGAATCTGGTTGTGAGCCTGAATACTTTCTGCTGATAGCATTTAAAATGAAGAAACATGTGAATTTATTTCTATGAACTGTTTTCAAAAATATTAATATGAAAGCCATCAAATAGAATTGATTTCCAAATTCTCTCTAGGCTTATATCACACTGATCATATAATAACAGTCTTTCTATTGTAACACCAAGGTCAAGGATTTGGATCCCTGTACCGGCCAGCTGCCAAAAAAAAAAAAAAAAAAAAAAACGACCTTCTAATTTCAAATTTTTAAGTCTTTCTATTGTAACACCAAGGTCAAGGATTTGGATCCCTGTACCGGCCAGCTGCCAAAAAAAAAAAAAAAAACGACCTTCTAATTTCAAATTTTTAAGTCTTTCTATTGTAACACCAAGGTCAAGGATTTGGATCCCTGTACCGGCCAGCTGCCAAAAAAAAAAAAAAAAAAAAAAACGACCTTCTAATTTCAAATTTTTATTGTAACAAGAAAACAACTCTTTTTCCTGTTTGGCTTAGGCTGGTAAGGGTAAATGAGATACTGCATATAAAAGTGTAGTATAGATGCCAGGAGAGCCTAACTTTTTTTTAATGAAAAAAACTTTTTTAATACTCATGTTTTATTTATTGCACTGAATCTTCTATATTTATTTTTTGCTAGGGAAATCATTTATGAATCATTGTGGTATGGATGAACACAACTTGCTGAAAACCAGATTTCTTCCTACCTGATCAGTTTTCTTGGTTCAGTGGATATTTTGCCCTCTTATAGGAAAAGTACCTACCTTTTATCGTTGACTCTCTTGATTCCCGGACAGGACCCTTGTTTATTTATCATTTAACAGTTTCAGGGTTCTTTCTCTGTATTAAGCACTAAACTCTGTTCTGCAGGGATGTTACAGCTGGGTAGGAGGGATGGTACAAAGAAATGAAATATTAATTGCTATGCTCAAAGTGGTCCACGTTCAGTGAGCGGGAGCTAAACCACATAATTTCAGTATGGTGGTGTAAGTGCTTTAATAGAGGTCTGCAGTGGATATTGTGGGCTCATGGAAGGGTCCATAAGCCAGACTGAGTGAGTCAGGAAAGAGCTTCCCTAAAGGCGTCATAGTATTTATTGAGTGCAAACTCTATGGCAGACCTTTGGGATATGAAGGTGAAAGAGATAGTCCCTCCCTCATGTAGTTTATAGTCTAATAAGGCAGACAGACTAGTAAATAGATAATTGAAATACATTGTGGTAAATGCAGTATAATAACATGGGTAACACAAGGTGTAGGTAATAGAGGAACCTAATCTAGTCTTCGTATGTCAGGAAAGGTTTCCAGAGAAAAGTGATGTTTATTTTAGAGACCTAAGCAGAGTTTTAAAGGCAGAGAAGAGAAGCCAACTGAATAAAGCAACTGCAGATGAGACTGGAGAAGTAGGCACAAACTAGGTTATGAAGAGCCCTGAATGCTATGCTAAGGAGCTTGAGTTTTTTTCCTGATGGCAGTGAATAGCTATTGAAGGATTTTAAGCAGGTAGGGTAGATATGATCACACTTTTGTATTTAGGAAGATTAGTATGGAGGAGATACTGTGAGGTAACTGAGACCAGACATTGGGAGAACAATCAAAAGGCTGTTTTAGGGGCCGGCCTGGTGGCGCACTGCTACAGTGCGCCGCTTGGGAGCGCGGCGACGCTCCTACCGAGGGTTCGGATCCCACATACAGACCAGCCGCTCACTGGCTGAGCGAGGTGCGGGCGCAACACCGAGGGTTGCGATCCCGTTGCCAGTCCCGGTCCGGTGCGGGCGCGACACTGAGGGTTGCGATCCGTTGCCGGTCACGAAAAAAGACAAAAAGGGGAAAAAAAAGGCTGTTTTAAAAACCTATGGAGGTCGCCAGTGAAGAAATGGATTGAAGTAGGGATGGAGGATAGAGAATAATAATTAGCTGTGTGAAAATTTTTAGGAAGTAGATCTGATGAGATATAAAGGGTGAGGAAGAAGAAAGTGCCCTGAGATAAGACCCAAGATTCCAGCGTGGGTATCTAAGTGGGTGATGGTGTCAGTCACAGAGATAAGGGAATATAGTGGAGGGAACAGATGGTGAGTTTGGTTTGAAGCACGTCAATGCTTATGGGGTAATCTAAAATTATTTATATTTATTTGAAAACATATATATCGTTTTAACTGGTTTGCATTAAAAAATATTCCTGGCTAATGTTTTTTTTTTTTAAAAAAGATGACCGGTAAGGGGATCTCAACCCTTGGCTTGGTGTTGTCAGCACCACGCTCAGCCAGTGAGCAAACCGGCCATCCCTATATAGGATCCGAACCCGCGGCCTTGGTGTTATCAGCACCGCACTCTACCGAGTGAGCCACGGGCCGGACCCCTGGCTAATGTTAAAATTAGTTTGGGCTGTGTGCAAGTGTGTGTGTGTTGGGGAAAATGGTTCTAAAGCAGTCTAACTAACAGGTTGAAACTAATCTACATTAAAAACTGTGTTGTATATGTAGAAATGGTAAGTTAAATGATGCATTACATTTTGTCCAAAGAATTTATGGGGTATGGCTTATCTCTAGCCCTATTAAACATGGAACTGTTTTCTTGTCTGTTTGGCAGATTCAACATTTAGTAAACATTCACAAATTATGATACAGAGATGTCAGTATGCGAGCTTAGCTACAATCAATATACTTTAGAAGTACTAGGAGACAGGAGAAACAATTATTAAACTTGCTGTACATACCACAGTATATATTTAAATTTTCTCCCACTATATGATGGTTTTATGTGAATGGAAAAGATTGAATGTATTATTAAAATTTTATTTATTGATGTTATTAATTGCATGCCTGCCAGGTACTGTTTTAGGTGCTAGGTATACAACAGTGGGAAAAAAAAAATACAGCCACTGCCCTTCTTGGGCTTACGTACACAGCAATCTTCTCAAAACTTGAAATCTACCACTACCCACCACCCCAGTCCACAACACCTGCTTGAAGCTGGTCAGTAGTTTCCTGCTACATATTTAGAACCCTGAATTCTTACTATAGTGTGTACTGTTCTGTGTTACCTAGCCCTCTCCTTGCCTCTTCAGTCTTATGCTGCTCCATGTTGGAACCACACTGGCCTTCTAGTTCCTGTACCATATCACACTCTCTTTCTCCTCGGGGCTTCTGTTCTTGCTATTCCCTCTGCCATGAATGCTCTTCCAGTGGTTCTTCAGTCTTTTGTCATCCTTCACATCTTAGCTTAAAAGTCACTTTCTCAGAGAGGCCTTCCCTAACCCACCTCTAATTAAAGTAGGTTCCCTGTTATTCTCCATCTTAGTATCTTGTTTTTTTTTTCCTTTATATCACTGATCACAATTATTGAAAAGATTAATAGTTAATTTGTTGACTTGTTCATTCTCTGTCCTTATATACCAGACTATTAAACTTCCTGAAGGTAGGAATCATGTCTATCTTGTTCACTGTTGAGTTTCCAGCACCTGGCATAGTGCCCAGCACATAGTAAGTGCCAAGTAAAATGTTTCTTGAATGACCAAATTCAGTAATCTTAATGCTTGGTATGATGCTGTTTTAAGAATTAGGAGCACTATTTGAAGATCTTTAGCAGTGGTTCTCACCCAGTATCTACTGGGTAGAGGTGGCTGCAAGACATCCCACAATGTACAAGATTAGTTCCCCACAACAAAAAGTTATCCATCTAAAATTTCAATAGTGCTGAGGTTGAGAAATCCTGAAGTAGATGATGATTGAATAGATCCGTGTTTTTTGGTCACCTCCTCTGAGTTAATGCCGAGCAACCCTAGACAAGTCATGAGACCTTGGGGGCTTTTAGTTTTCTTGGCTATAGAGACATGTCAGATTTATTTTTTTTATTTTTATTTTTTTGGTGGCTAGATGGTACAGGGATCTGAACCCGTGACCGAAGTATTATAACACCACACCATAACTAACTGAGCTAAGAGACATGTCAGATTTTTCTGGTACAACATTGGATGGCATGAGGTCTGAGAACAAATTTATTCCCAATTGCTGTACATCGAGTAGCCGGAGCCAGAGTCACCCCTTTATTTTTTTAGTCCTTAATTTTGGTCACTCATATATTTGAACCTTGCTTTCCTTGAGAGTTCATGTCATTTGGCAGAGTTATAAACAAAGTTACATTTGTTGCAAAGTTTTCTGAGTATTTTACTGGATAAGGCCTAAGGCCAAGCACTCATGGACTGTGTTCTAAAAATGATAGTGTACTTACACACTCTTAGAAATACCTAGTGATTGTTTTTTTCATTTTCTAACCCTTTATCTTGAAATTTTATCACTGAGAATAGAAGTTTAGTTAGGAGTAAAGAAATCTTAGAATGAAAGTGATTTTTTTGTTTGTTTGTTTGTTTGTGGCTGGCCAGTATGGAGAATGAAAGCGTTTTGATTAATTCGGACTTTTTGTTTTAGGAGCAAATGATGAGAAAGAAACAAGCAATGCATCTTGATGCAAGATACGTTACAATGGTGGAGAATGCGTATTACTACTGCAACCCTCCGCCAGCGGAAAAAACAGTGAAAAAGAAACGCCCCCCTCTCCAGGAATATGTCCGGAAACTTTTGTACAAGGATCTTTCTAAGGTTACCACCGAGAAGGTACATCTTAATAAAATCATATAATAGTCAACTTGAGATTTGTTGTAGTGCTAAGCTTACATGAAGTCTAGGAGAGGTGTAGGGGTAGACATCAAGTTTCATTATGATTGATTCTGTACAAGTCATCCTAAGAAGGGATTCATATTATGATACATAATATTTGGGACATCTCCTTTTACGATAACTTCTTATTCTAATTAAAATAGTAAATCTTCTAAATTTAGGTTTGATGCTATATATATATATATATGTATTTGAAACTATTATTTTATCTTTGGTATTCTATAATGAATTTGCCCTTAAATATTTTGCATCAGTGCAGGGGATCCTAACCTTCAGTGGTGTTTAAGAGGCCCATGGCCTCTCTGAAATTGCATAATTTTGAATGTTTGTGGCTATCTGTATTTTTCTGGAGAGAGGGTCTGTAGCTTTCTTCAGATTCTCAACAGGAATCAGTTTCTAGAAAAGGTTAAGAACTACTGACCTATCATTTTGATTATTATAGTTATCTTGTTAGAAACTTCATTTTTAAGTAAGATATGTTGAACAAAACATTTCTTGGTTAACTCTACAAGTTGACACATAATACAGGTAGAACTTTTTTCTTTTTAGGATAGAAGGTGATAAGGATTGATAGTGCAGCTTTGAAACTTGAAATCAACTTCTCGAGTCAGAGGCAATTGTTGTTTAAAACAATTTTAAAATTGGCTAAAAGTTTGAAAAGTATAGAATGCTATGCGATGGAGAAGACATTGACATTTCCCATGAAGCTGGTATGAGAACACGTTTAGTGCTTGAAAGATGGATTGTGGATATAGAGAGTAGAGATGAAAGGAATACTTTGCAATCTAACAATACCTTCCATTTTCTTCCAGAATAAAAGCAGAAAGAATTTGATTATAGGTAGAACTCTGCTGATTATCTTGTTACCAGCAGAGGTTTTGAAATAGTAATAGCTAACTTTATGGGACATTTATAATGTGCCAGGCATTTTCCTGTGTACTTCACTTATTTTATCTTGTGTAATCCTTACAATAAACTATGAAGTGTAAGTAGTTTTATTTTCCCCCATTTTACACATGAGGAAACTGAGGTTGTTGTGCAGCACCTGCCTTGATGTAGTGTCCTTCTCCATTTTAAGTGATTTTTTAACTAATTGACCTTGCGATTATTTATTTGTTGGAAATTGATGATTTTTAAAAAAGTGTTTGAGATTATTTACATCAAATGATGCACAAAAGAAGGCATATTATTTTTGGCAAACATTGGATATTTCTTTCAGTGAACTATGTAGATGACTGTATTCTTTTAGTTTGATTGAAGACCTGGAGACTCTAGGGAATTTGGGGGCATTATGAAAAGATTTAGGAAAAATGAGAGTACATTTTGGCATAATTATGAAATCTCATTTTTCCTATCTCTGAAGTGAAGAGGTTGATAGAGGATCTCTAAAGTATTTTTCACCTCAAAAATTCTATGACTGTACAATCGTAGTAAAACGTCTATGTTATTTGGTCATACTACCTTGTACTCAATACATTTTGGCATAATTATGAAATCTCATTTTTCCTATCTCTGAAGTGAAGAGGTTGATAGAGGATCTCTAAAGTATTTTTCACCTCAAAAGTTCTATGACTGTACAATCGTAGTAAAACGTCTATGTTATTTGGTCATACTACCTTGTACTCATCTTAATGATTTAAACAAAATTCTCCTCATTTAGGTTTTGAGACAGATGAGAAAGTTGCCCTGGCAGGACCAAGAAGTGAAAGACTATGTTATTTGCTGTATGATAAACATCTGGAATGTGAAGTATAATAGTATTCATTGTGTAGCCAACCTCTTAGCAGGACTGGTGCTCTACCAAGAAGATGTTGGGATCCATGTTGTAGATGGCGTTTTAGAAGATATTCGATTAGGAATGGAGGTAATAAGCACTTTCTTTCATGTCACCAAATTGGAGTTTGTGGAGAATTTAAACAACCTTTACATTCTATTATTGAAAAATTGTAATTAGAGAAACTGTCTTTTTCCCATATGGTGCCATTTACTACTACTTCTTTGCAGTTAGTGATTTGTTAATAAGCCGTGGTATATCAGATTTCCTAGTCTTCTCTCAAGCTAATACTGGAGTGTTCTTTGCCTCTTTTTCTTAAGCCCTGTTAAGCTTATTTTGGAATACTATATTAAATTTTTTTATTTTCAGTTTAGTATTGAGACTCATGTTATAAGAGTCTATAAATTTATTAATTAGAAAAAGTTCATAATCATTTTATGAGAATTTTCTGTAAGCACTTCATTCTTACTATAAAACCCAGGCTTATTGTTTCCTTAATTCACAAATAGCAGAGAAAATCAGCTATGGCAAGCTGATAGGGAGACTTGCATTTTAACTGTTTTAGAAACAATTCATTTAATGATAACTTAATACTAAATTTAATATCTAACATGTTCTTTTTTTAAAACTTTCAAAGATATCCATTTCCTAGAGAGAAAAGGGACACTCAGAAGTGACCACCTTATCAGAAAAGGAGGAAAGAAACCATCCCTTGTTTCTCTGTTCAGTGTTCTTTCAGTAATCAATATTGTCACATTACAGAGGGGAATTTACCTGTTTTCAAATACATTTCTACATTTTATTGAAAATCTGTTTTGTTTTTGCTTTGTTCTTTAGGTTAATCAGCCTAAATTTAATCAGAGGCGTATCAGCAGTGCCAAGTTCTTAGGGGAACTTTATAATTACCGAATGGTGGAATCGGCTGTTATTTTCAGAACTCTTTATTCTTTTACTTCATTTGGTGTTAACTCTGATGGTTCTCCAAGTTCATTGGACCCTCCTGAGCATCTTTTCAGAATTAGACTAGTATGCACTATTTTGGATACCTGTGGCCAGTACTTTGACAGAGGTTCCAGTAAACGAAAACTTGATTGCTTCCTTGTATATTTTCAGGTATATAAAAGCTGAAATATGCAGTTTGGCATTACTTAATTCATTACATGTGTTGCAAAAATATTAGAAAAGAAATGCTATAGTATTCATATACCATATATATGTTCATAATTAGATTATATTCTTCATATAAAGATGGTCTTAGAGATTTAAAAATATATGATGGATTCTAATATAAAATATTCTAATTGCTTGCAGCTTTTACGATTGATAATCATTGATCATTAATTTGGGGAATTATTTTGGTATAGTTTATGAATTTTGATGCAGTAATTTATGGACTGTGATATTTAATGCAGTAATTTAATTAATACATTTTTATACATTTGATAGTGTATTTTCTGGTTTACATCCAAAATTGTTTCTAAAAGATCTAATATTTTTTTGAGAGAAAAAAACTGATCACTCTGGAGGCTGCCGTTTAGTTCAGTTGGTTAGAGTATGGTGTTACAACATTAAGGTCATGGGTTAGGATCCCAGTACTGGCCAGCCACCAAAAACAAAAACCAAAAAAAATATCACTCTTGGGAAAATATGTTAATTTTAAACATAGGAAGAAATATTTGTTCGTTCATTAATAAACTCTTAGGTTGTACTTTCCGTATCTTAATTTTGGTTAACTATATAAACTTGTGATTTAGAGCAAGTACAGTATAAACTAAATTTAGATACAAAAACAAACAATCCTACAACTTCTATAAAATTTGGTATTTCAGTAATTAACTTGTAGCTTGGTTGGTTGGAGCCCAATCACTAGTTCCCATAAAATACAATGTTATAAGTATACTATCAAGCGCTTCAGATGTTACTGAATAAAGTACCAGGAGTACCATTCAATTTGATACAGTCAAAATTGTTAGTATTTTCGTTTGCTCATTGATGAGGAAAATAAATTTAGTATTGCAAGTTAAGGTATCAAAAATACATTCACATGGTGACTGGTGCTAAGTGGGGATAAATATGCTTGAGGAATTGCAGTTTAACTTTTTCCTACCATTCTACCTTTGCAAGAAAGGACAACTTGTTACTTCCTTATTTTCTGAATTGCTGAGCAAAAAATGGGGAAAGGCGTTTGCAGATATGAGGGTCGTATTCTTCTTTTTTGGTAAGGACTATCTTAAGTTGGAGACTTTCTGTATTAAAACCAGAGTTTTGCTGCAAAATGGCTGCTGTAACAGTATCCAAAGTAGAATCTCTTTCTGAAGAGAATCCGTATTTGGATTCACTCTGACATCCCAGACTGAGAGAAAAGAGCCACTCAGTAACATCAAGAGCAGAAGGAGACAAAAATATTTTCTAAATTGATTAACAGATGGAAATCTGTAGCAGAGATATACCTCGGGAATGGGGATTAGAAATAAGTGGGACCTGGGAGATGAGGTCATTTTCTCTCCTAGAATGTAGAGTGTATGGTTAAGTAGTGGAAAGCCAGGTAGAAAGGATCACTTGGAACAGTGCTCCTAAACTTTAAGGTGCATACACATCACCTGGGGATAATGTTAAGATGCAGATTCTGCTTCAGTTGGTCTAGGGTGGGAGTCTACAAGTGTACGTTTCTAATAAGCTCCCAGATGAGGTCCAAACTTTGAGTGGAAAGAATCTATATAACAAACTGGAGAGGAAGAGTAAAGCACCCAAAGGAATACCTGTTCACATTCTAGTAAGTTCCTGGCTTGTGCTTCCAGTTAATGTAAATTCAGGGGTTAGAACAAGTACAAAATAGAATGAAGGAACCAAACTAGGAATTGAGAGGGAAATACCTGCTCAGTGACATATACACAGTAGATGATCAATAAATGCTTGTTGATTAATGATTTTTAAGTATTTCAAAAAACATATCTTCAGATAGTTTAATTGAACTCTTCACTCTTAGGTAGCATAGAGAAAATAGTGAAAATTTATCAAAACTGTGTGGCTTTGAATCTGGTTGGTTTTGTAAAATTAAATATGTGAACCCTGTTTGGGATGTGGGTGTGGTATTTCCAGCTTGTTTAATAACACCTGAAAATTTATTTGGTATTTTATTTATAATTTTTCTTGCCTTTAAAAAAAAACAACTGACAGTTACAATAAAAAGATATTTAGAATAAAGTCACCAAATGGCTCAAAAACTGTACAGACAGAGGGAAATAATTAGAATAGGATCATTGCTCTTGACCACTAATAAAAATGGTAGGTGTCTTGTACAACCTTTTAGCCTGTTAGTACAACTAGGGAACATCACAGTATAGTTTACTATTTTAAAATATTTTTGTTATTGATTTCTTATAGCTAAATTTATTTTTCATTTATTATCAGCGTTACGTTTGGTGGAAGAAAAGTTTGGAGGTTTGGACAAAAGACCATCCATTTCCTATTGATATAGATTACATGATCAGTGATACACTAGAACTGCTGAGACCAAAGATCAAACTCTGTAATTCTCTGGAAGAATCCATCAGGCAGGTACATGACTTGGAACAAGAATTCTTAATAAAACTAGGTAAGCAATTAATTACGGAGAGAAAATGAAGGTGATATATGGCAGATTGTTTCTAGAATTTGCTTTATAATGTTATCAAAGTTTACATTTGTATACTTTGTATTTTGGGTGTTGAGTGTTGCATAACACTGTTAATTAGGTAAGACTTGTGTGGAGTACAGTAATGTGTTTTCATTAAGTAATCTCAAATTGGAAAACAGTAATGCAGAACTTGAAGCAATTGACAGTGGTAGAAAAACACAATCCTTTCAGCCTCTCTTAATTTCAGAATTTTTGGTTGCTAATATAAAATCTATGTTTGATTAAAGCATCTCTTATTTATACAGTGTATATTTTTACCAGGCATTTCCTAAGAAAATGCAGGGTAGAAACTGTAGATGGGAATACATGTTAGAAGTTTAGAACTATCCTACAGAATTCCAGACCTTATTCACTGGCAGAGTTGCCTTTATTTCTAAGGATGAGCAAAAATGTGCTACAAGAGGATTATCTATATACTTTCACAGTATCCTCCTGAGATTGTTCTGGGAGAAGAGATAGCTCTCCAACAGCTCCCACTAGGGACTGACGGAACCTACTAGCCTTGTAAATAGAAATAACTGGTACAAGGTACAGCCATTACCAATCTGGTTGCTTGCTAATAGTTCTTAGCATGTTTCATTGTAGTCATTTCAAAGTGACACGTGTTTTCAGACTATTAAGCTAGTATTTTATTTCCCATTAGCACTTGGTGCATTCATGTCTATCATTAGGGAAACTTTACCTTCACCAGTAATATTAATTGTATTAATTTTCTACATTGCATATTTGAAGAACTGCTTTTCATAGGGAAGGCATTTCTGATTTTTTTTTCTCTAAAACTTTTTTTTCATATTATGTCCAGCATATTAATAGGATTGCTTTCTCAAAAGGTGAATCTTCTTTTGGAGAATATGATTGCTGTTATTTGAGCATTATTTTTAAGGGTGGTACTACTGATTGTGCAAGTATTAGCTTTTCCTGCTACTCAGCCCATAAAGGCATATGTGATTCTTCTTGTTCTTTAAACTTAGTCCTATTACCTCCCCCTTTTTTTCTTTTTCAGATTTCTAATTGAATAAATGATCATTTCAAGCAGAGTACTTATCAGCTTATTTATTTCACTTACTTTGTATGCTTTGAAATTGTTAAGTCTTAGCCTTGTTTCATGAATGGTGTATTCATGAATGTTGTGCTCTCTCTGTAGTGGGCATGAGTAAAGATTAGTGTGATACCAGTTTGGTGGTGGTAAAGGGAACAGTTGTTCTTTGTACTTGTAGATCAAAGGGTTAAATTAAGGACCTCAAGCTTATTTTGAGGAGTCTGTCTTTGTTTAGAATATGGAGAAGGAAAAATAGGTCACCATTTATGAATGAAATACAGCAGCCACAATTAGTGTATTCCTAAGTATTCTCCATTTTCCTCCCGGTTTTAGAGTTTAAACATCAGGAAGAAAATACATGCAGAAGAACTGTATTAAATCATTTTCCTGTTGGTAAACCATAAGATAATATAGTATTTTGCCTTTGGTAGTTTTCTGTTTGTTTTCAAGCACCTGCAAATTTAACGTCTCATTTTAGTTTTATAGTAACCCACTGCTACCTAATAGTTAATGGGAAACACTAAAAACATTCCCTTATATTTTAAAAATTATTTTTAATGTTAAATAACAAATGTTCATGGCAGTAATTTTGAAAAATACCAAGAAAACAAATATCACCAATATTCCATAAAAAGGATAATATGTTAATATTTTTATATATATTCTTCCATTCTTTTAACATTTTTTCACGTGTGTTTGCAGTTTTATAACTAGATTGGATCTACTTAATATATTATGAATTTTGTTCCTGACATTAAATAATCTTTAAAAATTTGTTTGTTTGTTTGTTTGTTTGGTCTTTTTTTTTTTTTTTTTTTTTTTACTGACCGGTAACGGGATCGCAACCCTCGGTGTTGCGCCCGTACCGGGGACCAGCAACAGGATCGCAACCCTTGGTGTTGCGCCCGCACCGCACTCAGCCAGTGAGCGGGGAACCGGTCTCCACATGGGATCCGAACCCTCGGCGGGAGCGCCGCCACACTCCCAAGCAGCGCACTCTCCAGTGCACCACCGGGCCGGCCCCTGAAAATTTGTTTTTTAATTGGCTGTTTTCCTTTGTAGGAATGTGCCACCATTTATTTAATCCTGCTGTTGGACTCTTAGGTTGTTTCTAGTTTTGCACCACTATAAATAATGTTCTTGTGTTATTTATTTATTTATTTATTTATTTTTCCTTTTTGTTTTTTTTCGTGTCCGGCAACGGATCGCAACCCTCAGTGTCGCACCCGTACCGGACCGGGACCGGCAACGGAATCGCAACCCTCGGTGTCGCGCTGGCACCTCGCTCAGCCAGTGAGCAGGAACCAGTCTGTATGTGGGATCCGAACCCTCGGCGGGAGCGCCGCAGCGCTCCCAAGCGGTGCACTGCAGCAGTGCGCCACCGGGCCGGCCCTCTTGTGTTATTTTTTATTGTACCTCTAGTTTTCTCAGGATAGCTAGGATTACTAGCTGAGACTTTCTTTAAGAACTAAACCAAAATGGTAATAGGCAGTTCTAAATAATATTATAAAGAACAGAAATTAGAGAAATAGAAATGAAAAAAAGATAAAATTCATATAAATTACACTTGAAAGCAAAAGGCTATATTTCGTAAATTAGAAATAAAATCAAAAGAATATTATAAAAGGCCTAGAAGTAGTTTTAATTTAATATAAAACAATTTAGTATGTGATGAACTAGGATTCTTAAAAATCCATCCTAGGATAAGGACGACAGAGCATTTGGGAGAGAATTAAAATAGAAAATTAAAATATATCAGTAAAAGTGGATTAAAGAGTTAAATACTTATTTTTAAAGGTTAAAAATAGATCTGCTTATTTATCAAATATTTGGAGAGGCCTTAATATTTCCAAATTTTAAAATGATAGAAGAGAGCACACAAAAATAGACATATTTATGTGTTTACAACTTTTATACAATGGGAAATAACTAAAAAGGAAAATAGTTTCCATGCCAGGTTATTCTCACTTATTTAAAGAACACAGGCAAATTGATAATAATAGAACACCTCAATAGATAAACGAGCTGACATAATTACATAAGGGAGGGCAGGGAAGATTTGGTGTTTTTACTGAGTACTGTTTGTTTGCCAAAATGATAGAGGTGATGTTATTTATATTTGACAAATGAGTTAAATAAAACCCAAATTAAAACATCGGGTTAACTGTTCAAGACAATTCAAAGACTGTGCCCTTTCTGACTTTAAGTATGTGGGGAAAATGTTCAACAACTCGTAGCAAGCAGAGAAATATAAATTTAAAAAATCTGAAAAGAGGTATTACAATTATTACCATCTCTGTTACAAGCAGGAAAACTGAGGCACCAAGCAGCTCAGATTCAGAGAATACTATTTTATTTTGGTCTTCAAGTACACTTGTAACATTTTAATATTTAAAATGTTTCTGTCTGGATTTTGCATTTTGTTATCTGTATGTCCTTTATATATTCATTTTTATCTAGACTGTTTATTTTACATTGACAGTTTCCTAGGGGTCAGCAACTGGATAATTATTTTACAGCTTAGCAAATGCAAAATATAATACTTATAAATTGTTTTTGAAACTAACTCACATTACAAATGAAAATGTGTTAGAAATAGTATGTATTTTCCTTACAAATTAGAAGTAGGATTATTAAAGCTACTTATATATTATTGTTCTCCCCATGAGGCATATTTTAAGTGGATATAACAAAGGTATAATGATGTCTTATGCAACATGAGTTTATTACCACTGTGATATTTTTACTGAGGATGGTTTGGTTTATACAGTCCTGACTTTACATTTTTTGCCTTTGATAATTAACAGTCCAGTATTTTACTTTTAGAAGTCCATAGAAATAAATAATATATAAAATTGATTATTTGTATATACGAAAAACTAGTAAGTGATAAGTAGAAAATATTTAAGTTAACGGAATCTCAATCTGAGCACCAACTTTTTTTCCTCAGTATTATTTTCCTTTTAATTTTTTTTTTTCCAAACTCAAATGTACCTACTATATATAATCACTCTGTACATCCATATTTTTGTACATCCATATAGTTGCTTAGACTTCAGACACTGGAGTAAATTTTTAATCTTACTGGTTGGCCTGGTTATAGAAGCTCTGGATCTCAGTATTCATAAAATGAGAGGGTTCGATCACATCATCACTAAAGTTTCTTCCTGCTCTAGTCCTCTAAGATCCTGTGAATAAATATTTACTAAACACCTACTGTGTATTTTTCAATACATGGCCTCTGTTAAGTTTTGAGTATAAAGGAAGTTCTTTATCCTCAAGGATTTTATAATCTGATGAAATCATTTGAAAAAAATATAACATGGTATATCATCAAACGTAAAGTGCTATAATAAATTCTCCAGGTGCTTTAGGAGCAAGCAGGAGAAAAAGTAATAGATTGAAGTACTTGATAGTTTATGCAGGAGGTAAAACTTAAACTGAACTTGAAGAATGGATGGAATTTGAAAGTACACGTTGAAGGGTTTTCTCTACTGAAAAGGGTATTGGATGAGCAAGATCTCAAGGCAGCAAGAGTCTGACCCAGCTGATGGAAAAGGCTTAGGAAAGAGTATTGGGAAATAGTGGTATCAGATGAGCCCATGTTATATGCATCTTGAAAGCAGAGAGAGTACATTAGAATTCAAATGATAATAGGAAGACTTGACTAGGCAGTGAAATGTGGGATGGACAGGGGAGGTGGAAGCAGGTGCAGGCCAGGCAGTTCCCTTTGGAGGAGAATGCTGTCACTGAAGAGAAAAAACTAAGCTGTATGGTGACAAAGCTGTCTTTTTGCCTCCTTTCTCTGCTCTTAATTTGCAGATGTTCATACTGATAGCCAAATGTGATTTCTTCGTTAAAGTGACATGATATCTTGGAGTTTTCAGAGATTCTTTTTGGTAGAGGGTGTGGCAAAAGCTGTATCTTATTTATGACTGAGACTGCACCTTATGTGCTGCTACTTTTTACCTGTTCACCTGAGACTGAGATAAACCGGATAATCCAAGTATTTGAAGCTCTAAGAAAAGGAAAAAACAATACCCACACATATATATTTTTTTCTGTTTTTGGTAATGGTTAGGACATGTATCAGTGCTCCTTTGTTGAAATGTAGGTCTACACATTTAGTTTTTTAAAATATTTCTCACAATAGTTTTCAGTTCTGTTCTTTTACCACTGTGCTGAGAAAATGCCTGTTGAATTATCTTACTTAATACATTTAAATGAAGTGGTATAATATAAAAAACTAGTCTTTATCTTTTTTTATGTACTTTTTCATTTTCTCATTTCAAGGCCTAGTAAATGACAAAGATTCGAAAGAGTCTATGACAGAAGGAGAAAATATTGAAGAGGACGAAGAAGAAGAAGAGGGGGGAGCTGAAACTGAAGAGCAATCTGGAAATGAAAGTGAAGTAAATGAACCAGAAGAAGAGGTGATGACTTTTATTTATAGCAAATAGGTACATTTGTATAAGAGTATTTTGATTACGTGAGCCAAGATTTTTTTTTAATACATAGAATAAGATCTCTTCATTAGTTTTATTATAGTAAGTGTAACCAGGAGTATATTTGTTATAAAACCCCTTGATTAATTAAAGGTTTTTAAAGAAAGAAAGGAAATACTGATCATAGCATTTTTATTTAATAAGAAATCCAAAGAAAAAATGTTGTTGGATCTTCTGTGTATCTTAATCTCATTGTTTGATATGGACTTTTTAGCCTGCGGGTTTTACAGTCTTCAAAACAAAATTACTGGCTAGATATTAATGAACTTTCCTTTATTTTTCCCAGATCTAATGGTACATGAAATCTGAAATTCATTGTGTACCATAATTTGCACGTCTTTTTTGTTTTTATGACTCTGTTAGGTCAAACTATATGAAATTGTTCTTCTACCATTTTGACCTACCAAAATGTCCTTTTCATGTGGTTCAACCTAATAGTTTTAATCCTTTTGTTTTTTCTTCTAAACACTCTTGAGTTGAATCAAATTAACAGGATGTCTGAGTTTTGCTGCATAACCTGGAGGTAGATTGGGGAATGGGTTAGGGGCCTAGAAGAAACTGACCATGAGCTTATTGTTCAGTTGTGTGATGGGTAAGTAGGGATTCATTATACTCGTCTCTCTACATTTGTATATGTTTACACTATAAAGTTAAACAAATTAAGTTCAAAGAAAGAAGGGTGAATAAGAAGAGGAACAGAATATTAATGAAAATAAAATTTAAACCATGAAATTAGCACTTTTTCACTTGTTTTTGTATGAATATGTTATATAATCATGGCAGTTTGATGTATATGGTTTTTTTATGTGTTCCTTGGGTGCTTAAAGCATTTAGGAAAGTGTGATAATTTAGAAGTATGATTTTAAATATTGAAAAAAGTTTACATTTTTAATCAATATTTAAGAGTTTTGGGGAAATAGAATTTTAAGTGTTAAAGTTTTGATTTATTTGAGTAAATAGAATGCAGATATTTAGAGAATGTGGGTTGTTTGCTATTTAAAGAAATGTTAATTGTTTATAGCATTCATAAGATAGATACATAAATTGCAGTTTTTAAAAGCTCCATTTAGAATTAAAGAAAAAAGGACCCAGTAATTTAAGGTAATTAAATTTTTCTACAGTTAGAATTAAAAATCTGTAAGGTTGTGTTTTCTTTAGCTATCAAGATCTATAACTATTACTGAATATTTGGTATAACAAATTTGCTGTTAGTTAAAGATGAATGATTGTGAAAAGGCAGTATAGACAATGATGTACAGGGTACTTCAAAAAATTCATGGAAAAGTAGAATTAAAAGATAAATGAAGCTTTTCTTGAACTTTCTGAAGGCCCTTCATGTGGCTTTTTTAATTGGCTAGTATTTACAGGCATTGAAAAATGTACCTTTAAGTATTTATGTCATTTGCTACCATTCTCTCTTTTTAACTGTAGAACTCCCTTAAAGTAGATATAAAGAAATTAATAACAATTTTAGAACCGGAATGTTCTATAATTGGTTTCAGAATAATAGATGGAATTATATTGCTTTGTTTTCAAAATGAGGTCATAGGAACATTCAGTAATACAATTTAAACTAGCTTATTAAGTATTTTATAACAACAAAGGGAAATGAGAAAGTATTTCCATTTTATATTTTCAGACTAATCTTGTGGTTGACTTTGGATTTTGCTACTGCACTAATTAGATAAATAGGATCTAATAAATTCAACATCCTTGGTAAATGTGACATTAAAAAGGACTCATTTTCTTATAAATTTCTCATTCGAAGAGTTGTGATGTATCATATTTTCCCCTCTAAATGCATTTCCTCCTTTTCAAACTTTATAATTTATAATCATTTTAAACCATTACTTTTCTAGTTGGAGAATGAATGTTATACATGATGTATGTGTGTTTGCTAAGTAGAAATGCAAACAAAATGTTTAACTGGAGGATCCATGTTTCTGGGAGGAGTAAAAGGTGTTTACTTTAAGAGAAATGAGTTTGGAATAGGTTACTTCTCTACCCACCCCAGGACCACTGTTTCCCATGATTATTCTCCAAACATCAGGAAAAGAAATTTATTAAAGAAGGAAGATGCATTGATTATAAAGTAATAGGAGCAACGGAGGATAGTCTACAGCTATTTCCTTAAACTGAAAAGAAAATGGCTACAGTTCAACTCTTAAAAAAAGTGATACTTCTCTGTCTCCAATTTTTTAAAACTCTGTATGATCTTTTGAAGTTATTCTTAGCACCTAACCACCAGAATATTATCTCCTAAATACCAGCTATGTGAGTTAAAGATAACTGTTTAAGGATTAAGTACGTGTTCTTCTGCTAAAATAACTTTCTGCGGCATCTATGTAATTTATCAACAAAGTACAGATTCTTTATAATAATAGCAATAATAGTTATTTACTGAGCATTTATTATTCATGGTCACTGTCCTAAGCGTTGTATTTATATTACTGTTTCTGATACCACCCTTGAGGAAGTTGAGAAACTAAGGCACAGATAGGTTAAATAATTTGCCCAAGATCTCAGAGCAGTTGGGACAGAGCCAGTATTTGAACTTGAGCAGTTTGCCTTCTGCTATGCTTTCCATCCTTCTTTTCCTAGCTAGCCGGGATTTTGTGGTCCGTGGACCACTGCTTTCTAATTCCACCCATTATTACAACAGTGTACAGTGGGATTAGGACAAATGAAATTTTTGCTCAACCTTTTAATTTGAAAAACTAATAGATTTTATATTGCCTGAATAATACAAAAAATAAAGGGGGGTGGGTGGGATGTTAATACATTTTAGCTTGGTTTAGGTTAGTTTTTGAATAGAAAGTATCTTTTAAGTGTTAAGAAATGATTAATTTTTTTTTCAAGGACAAATTTAAGAGCATCTTATTGCAAACTTAATTTTGAATTATAGAATTACATCAAAAAAAGTTAATGCATTTGTGTACTTTTTCAAAATGTTTACATTTTAGGAATTCTAAAAATTTCCAAATATCTCTAGTAAGTAATAATACACGGGAGTTTTTGGAATTAATTGCTACACACACTAAAAGTATTGTAACAAATTTAAATCATTTGTTTTAGGGATTGTTTTTCAGTCATCTTGACACAATGAGAAGCATCTGGGTTTTTTGTAGTGTTTTCTTAGAAGTTTTATGGAACCACATGAGGGGCATATTACAGTGTTGTTGGGGTGGAGTGATAAACAGATGGAGCTCCACTGTGTACTTGCCACCTGTCAAAAATCTATCAGGGTTCCACCCTTTGTTTTGTTTGAAAAGGAATTTCGACTGATATGAAAGAAGGGGAGGCGTGGCCTGGTGGGGAGGATGGAGGAAGTAGTGCTTGAAATTCAAAAATCTATCAGGGTTCCACCCTTTGTTTTGTTTGAAAAGGAATTTCAACTGATATGAAAGAAGGGGAGGCGTGGCCTGGTGGGGAGGATGGAGGAAGTAGTGCTTGAAAGTCACCAGCTAGGGAAGTGGTAGAGCTTAGCTCTTATGCTTTATAGCAGTGCATCCTTGGAAAAGTCACTTAACTTTTCTGAGCCTGAGTTTTTTCATGTGTAAAAATGGGGACAATAAAGTTTATCTTTTCATCCTCAGAGTTAGGTAGAGCAAACAAAATGAAGTATGTGAGAGCACCTTCCAAACTGTAGTGCTTTATGAAATGTAGTGCTGTGTCATTGCTTTCAGCTGGTAACAATGTTAAACTTGAACCAACAGGTTTCCATTGCAGAATTAGATGAGTATTAAAGAACTACTGTGAGAAATTCCCCTTTTCGAAATTAGTTTCAGAGGAGAAAAACACAAAATCATCAGGAAACTTGTTCCTTGTGGAATTCAGGGAAGAGTTTCTACAGTGGATCTTTGTATTCTTAGTTCAGTGGAAGGTAGTGAGATGGGTTTTCAGCTACTGTTATGTAGTAAATGTCACCAAGCTGATTTTGCCCTCCTGTTGTAAGCAGACCGCATAAAAGGCTGACACTCAAGAATAATAAACAATTATACAAAAGTTTTAAAATCCTTTTAAGGCATGTAAAATATAGTAATCCTTTTCAAAGTGTTTTAATCTTCTACTGATGTTAAACAATTTCAGGAGGGTTCTGATAATGATGATGATGAAGGAGAGGAAGAAGAGGAAGAGAATACAGATTACCTTACCGATTCCAATAAAGAGAATGAAACTGATGAAGAGAATACTGTACGTATGGCTGAAAATTTTGCTTTTTGAAATTATGCAACATTTTCATAGTATTTGAATTTTATCCACTGAAGTTTTGTTTCTTTTGATTATTGTGAAATATCTCTTTGGAAATTCATTTTCAATTTGTTTTCTTAACCATTTTCTTTATTAACAAATTCTTTTAACATTTAATAATGTTATATATTTTATTCACTTATTCCTTGAGTTATGTTGAACAAGTTATCAATACAAAAAGGCTCTGCTATACAAAATATTGCAGTTAAAATTTCTGGTCTGATTTTATTGTTTTTGTTTTGTTTTCATAAGGAGGTAATGATTAAAGGAGGTGGACTTAAGCATGTACCTTGTGTAGAAGATGAGGACTTCATTCAAGCTCTGGATAAAATGATGCTAGAAAATCTTCAGGTATTAAATTTTGCTCTATTCCAAAGATTCTTCTCAATATAAAACCTAGCAGCACATTAAATTATGGTTAATATGAGAGTTTGTATTGTCTAACTATCTGCGTCTGCAGCAGCTTTTCCTAATGTACACAGCTTGCAGCTGCCAATACTTCTTGCATCCTACATCCTGATTTGCACATTTCTTTGAGGTAGAGTAGGAGAAGATGTAGTAAATGGAAAGCTTGGAGCAGAGCAATTTTATTGTACCAATCTCTTAAGTCATATCTCTTTATTTCTAAGACCCTTTTCTTGCAGTTTGTTTAGGAGCCAAACTGCAGAAGATAAACATTTGGGGAAATTCAGTTTAGTAAATTCTTATGTTTGATTTATTATTTGAATAGCTTGTATGTAAATAGAGAAATATTGGCTATTTAATTGTTAAAGAAATGTTCATTATTTAATGTACCCATAATCTGTTAGCAAACTGGATTTGATAAAAAGCTCCATCTAGTAGTTTTTAGAATGTCATAGTAATTTGGAGTAGTTATATTTTTCTATAGTTAGAGGTAAAATCCCCTAGATGGTTTACTTCAGCCCTGTATGTAGCTATTGTTAAGCCCTTTAGTGACTTGAGGAGAGTGGTTTTGTTGGAATTGTGGAACGCAGGCCCCGCTGGGGCAGGTGCAGTGGAGAATGGGAAGGAAGGGGGTGAAGATAGTAGATGTAGGTAACTCTTGAGGAGTTTTACTAGAAGGGGTAGAGAAATGAGGAGTAGCCACAGAGTACATAGAATTAAAAGAGAGGGTATTTTTTAAAGGTAAGAAGATATTATAGAGTCTCTATATTCTGATGGAGCAATCCTTTAGAGAAGAAATACTAGATTTTACTTCCCTTGATGCTACTAATGCCAAAGATATGTATGGTAAAGCACAAATTAGCATTATAGGTATGTTAGACTGATCCGCTTCTTCCTTCATATATTAAACTAATGTTTCTTCATATATCCAAAATGTTCTTAATTTATGAAATAAACCTTATATTTATGTCATGTAGGAGCCCAAGTCATCAACTAAAACATAATTATTATAATCCTCTTCAAGAGAAAATAAACAGTTTACGTCTTAAAGAAACTTTTCCTATCTTATACGAGTTGGTAGCGATTTACTTAGCCTTCATTTGTTAGCCAGTATTTATTGAGCACCTAATGTGTGCCCAGAAGTTATCATCAGCCAAAGTATAAAGTAGTAAATACAACAGACCTGGTTTCTGTTCTTAGAGAAGGTAGATATTTAACAACTAAACAAATACATAATCTCAAATTGTGATGAATGCTAAGAACAGAATGCTTTGGTAGAGAGTAAGGAAAGGACCTTCTTTTGATAGGATGTTGGGGAAGGCTTGTCTGAGATCATGAATTCTAAGCAAGACAGGTAAAATAGAGCCATTCAGGTGAAAAATTAGAGGGATGTGGGAACAATGTGCCAAAGCTCTTGAGGTAGAAAAGAACTTGTGTTTGAAACACTAAAAGAAGGCCCTACTAATAGAGCATAGTTTGTGGGAGGGTGGTGCAGCATGAGAAAGAGAGTTGTGATGAGATCCCTTTGGAGAGGCATGGCCCTGTGTGGAGGTGGTTCAGGTGGGAGCAGGGTGGGAAGCCAGGAGCCTGGGGAGAAGGCTGTGTGATCCAAGTGAGAGGTGATGGCCACCTGTCCAGCATAGTAGCAGGACACAAAGAGAAGTCTGGATTTGAAAGCTGTTTAGGAGGTAGAAGAAATGGATTTATTTGGTGCTTGATTGGATGTGTAGTGGGAGAGTAGACAAGCATGATACTCAGTTTTCTAGCTTGGGCCACTGGCTGGTGTCAGGGATAGGAAACAAGGGAGGTGTGAGCAAGAGTTCCACTTTGGCTGTGTTAAGTTTGAGAAGCCCATGAGGTGTCAAAGTGGAAATGTCAGGTGATCAGAAGAGATGTGTGGAGTGAACACATAAATGTGATATGTAGAGCATATTTAAAGCCACAGAAATAAATGAGTCACCCAGGAGTAAAGTGTGGAGAGAAAAGAGAAGCAAGTTCAGGATCAAGCCCTGAGGAACCCAAACGTTTAGAAATAATGTAGAAAAGCCAATGAAGTCAAAGGAATAGAAGTTTTGATATGGTCCGATAACTGTTGCCTGTTGAGAGTTCTTAAAGAAGCAAGCTGGAAGGATAAGAAGATGTGGTCAGGAGGGAATTTTGAATTCATATTTTTTCAGGAGATGTGCTTAGTGTGCTGGAGAAAAACTTAATCCTGTATTAGACCCTAATTTTTAAACATTATCAAATACTGAAAGTAAACAACTGTGCAGTCTCTTTGTTTTGGTGAGGTTGTCATAGAAAGATGTCATATTGTAGAAATACTAACTCTCCATGAATCAGGTCCTTATGATATGGGGCCTATGTCAGAAGACTATGTAAACAGCAGTAGCACAGCCTCAAAACCTTCAGGGCCTTTCAGCATTCTCTACCTTCCTTGAGGAATCACATTCAGCTCCTTTCTCTTTCTGCTCCATTCATCAGACATGGACAGTTATTTGTAGTTCCCTGAATGCGTTGGGCTGTTTCATGTCCCTGCTTTTGCACCTGTTCTTCTGTTGCCTAAATTCCCTTTGTAACCCCAAACTGCTCTTTTGCCATCTGCTTGGAAGAAGTCATAAGTCTCAAATACCCCATTTCTGTTCATCCATTCATGAAACCTTGGTACCCATCCACTCCTAGCCAGGCAGAGATAGTCACTCCATCCCCTGCACTGGTGATACTTACCTCTGATGTATTGTAATTAATTAATTTGTCTCATTTAATAAATTTATGAACTCATTGAGGGTAGAGACTAAGTCTTTTTAATATTACTATCTCCAAGCCTAACACATAGTAAGTCTTCAGTGAAGGTTCATTTAATTAATTGTTTGAAAAGCTCAGTGTAAATGTTAAAAAACTATTGGGCTGCAGCGGGGTGGGGAGCAGCAGTAAGCTCCCAGGTGCAGGTGCAGCCACGTGGTGGACAGGCAAGGGAACCAGAGACAGAGACACGGAGACAGAGTCAGGGTCTCAGAGACAAAAAAAGAGAAAGCGGCAAAAAGAGATTGAAGAGGAAAGAGAAGCTACATGAGAAAAAGACAAGGGGAGGTTAAATGAAATAGACTTTAAGATGGCGACCGGTCTGGAGCGGCCGCGTCAGGAAACAGCGCGATCCTGAGGGCTGTGTGCTGTGATACCAGAGTATTGACTACATTTCCAAGAGCAACAAAGGACGAATAATTCTTTCAACAACGATCCTACATCGACAAACA